AAATCTATTTCAGTTTTAATTTATTAATAATTTTAACTAATATTCATAAATTAAAGTCTTGCATAAAGCAAAGTTTCCCATAAGGCAAAGTGTCGATACTGAAGTATTTTTTTATAAATTCACTTTTGTCACTAAGGTTTCGACCAGGATTATGGTTTCGACTAATAATTGATAATTTTTATACCATTATAAAAACTAAATATTAAAAGTTATATTTAAACCATTATTTTAAAATAAATAAGAAAACTTGTTCATTATTATTCAAATAGTATTTTAATGGTAAGTTGAAACTATAGTATTACATTTGTATTTTCTGTATAAAATTAATTTAATAAAAGTAATTTTAATTTGAATACAAAAAAATAAAATGATATTTATTTCACTTAAAAAAACAATTGGATGGCACGCCTTGAACCATTTTATTTACGAAACGTTGTCTTATATCTCCCAAAACTTTCAGACCTTGCCACTTTTGTTTGTATTAACAAAAAGTCTTGTGATGTATCAGAGAGTTTGTATATCAATCCATTTAATCTTCCTCAAAGCACTCCAATCCAAAAAATTGTCATATTATTTCCAAAATTGGAGACTTTGTACCTTCCTTATGAAGTTGACTATGATTTGTCTTTCTTAGAGAATTTGGGTACTTTTATCATTGAGTTACGACGAAATTACAAGACGCCAAAGTCTCAAGGCCCTTCAAAAAGTGTGACCTCACTCTTGTCGACAGAATGGTTTCCAAAACGTGTGAGGAAACTTCGCATCTTTGAAGAAGAAGTCCACACTTTTGCAGATAATATCAGCAAGTATGTGCAACTTAAAACCGTCACATTTGGGTTCAAAGGAAATGATTGTATGGAAGACTTCATGAAAATCATCACCCACAGAACTCTGAGAACTGTGACGTTTTCTGCTGCTGCGTTTAATGCCAATTTAATTTCCGCTATCGATTTTTCAGATCTGTCCGACACGCAATTTAATATTCAGTTCTTCGCTGCAGTCAACTCGGAGTTGTCCATTGAAGATGTCCAAAAGCTTTCAAAACTCCCTCCAAACGTCTGTGTATACATCTCTTATCTTTCTGACATCATTTTGGATCCATTGTACAAAACAAAGAACATCACTTATCTCCCATTTCTAAGCGAAAAAGAATTGTATCGCACAGTTACTAAAGTCCTCAACAAGAATTTCAACGACAAAAATCTCTTCTCTTTCATACAAAAAGCTCTTCCAAAGGAACTCCAAGTCGTTAAAGACTTCACTCAACAAGACCACAAAACGTCCGTTATAAAAGTTGACTTCACAAATTTGAAGGAGGAGTTTTGCATGGAAATAGTTGTTTTGTATAAAGTGCGTTTTGTGGAGCTTACAATGCCGAAAACAGTTAAAATTTTAAAGATGAAAAGTGTTGAGGGCGCCGTGAAAGCACTTGCGTGCAAACTTGAAGATGTCAAAATTATAAAACACGGAAGAGATAAAGTTGAAATTGAATGTGAAAATATAAAGAAATATAAATGTGACAGAAGTCGTGTTGATGTGGTGTATAAAGGTAAAAAATATTTAAATAAGTTTTTTATGACAGTTGGAGAAGGTTTGTCTTATGACATTTCAGTCACGCAAACATCAAAACTTGTGTTTTTGAGAAAAGGAGAAAAAGTAGGGCAACTTGTATTTTGTGGCAAAGTTTGTTTGAATGACACAACTTTTGTTGTTAATGACGTGAAAGAAAGTTTTGATCTTTCTCGTATTCATAACAGCGAAATTAATACTTTTAAAATAAACGAAATGAGATCATCGCCATTTAAACTGAAATTTGGCGAAGTACAAAACGTCAAAATAATGGGAAATGATGAAAATGAAAGTTATATCAACGCGATTCACTTTGATAAAATTGAAAGAATGAAATTATCATATTGTTGTATTGAACAATTGAAAGGAAACGAACTGACATATTTGAATTCAAACGATGCGTTTATAGCAAATCAAACAATCAAGAATTATGGGATAATAAAATACTACTAATTTTGTTAATTTCGGTAACAATTCCCTTTCAAGAAAAAAAGACTGAAATATCATTTTTTTCGGCAAAATTGCTGTATGGTAAAGAAAAAAAATAAGTTACCTAAAAAAATCGGGTTATTACGTAACAATAAAAATTATCTCAAAATAGATGACAGTAAAAATAATTTTTTGGCAAAAAAAATATATAAATATTAAAATAAAATACTCGAAACCAAACAAACTATATATTATAAATTTTAAACTATTATTAATTTATTAATAATAATAACATAATAATTCAAATTGAATTAAATTTTTAGTTTATTATTTTAAACTTTAAAAATTACTTAAATTGAAAAAATATTTATGTTTTTATAATACTATCAAATAATTATATATTATATTAAATATCTGACATAGTTATGTTATAATGTATTTATATTATTATAAAAAAATTCACAGATAATATATTTATATAAAATAATGATATTAAGGCGACCCGAAGATTCATCAAAATGCTAGGGCTGACAATAATTATTTAAAGTCATAAACACACACAAAATAATGAATAAATGGTAACAAAAAGTTAAAAATGCGTGTATAATAATTAATAATTCATAAAAATAAATTATTAATTATTTTTTCCATTTAAAAAATAAATGAAAACAAAAAATATTATGGTAAACAAAAAATATGTATTAAAATAAACCAAATATAAAAAGCAGAATTTAAACTAAACCTAAAAAGTATCTAAAAAATCATTGTTAATGGAGGAAAATAATA